TAATATATAAATTTATCACAAAAGTTTAATAAAAAAATATTATTATTTCAATACTAATCAATTTTGATTAAAATTAATCAAGCCCGATTAAAATTAATCAAGCCCAATTAAAATTAATCAGACCCAAACTAATTTCAAGTTTTATTGAGTTTCACATATTTTATAATGCAAAAATTTATTTTCTTAAATATTTTTTATCGATGTGGGATATATTTATAGTGTAAAACTTTATTTTTTTATGTGTTTTTTATCGATGTGGGATGCATTGATTAGAGAAAATTGATAATTTTTAGTGACGAAATATATTTTTTAGTGATGAATTATTTGGTCATTATTGAATGTGTAAGGTATATGTGACCAATATTAGAATTTTGTCATAATTGTAATGCATTATAGTGATGATTTTTATCGACAAAAACCTATTTTATCTCTATGAACATTTTTCAGTGATGAAATATATTTTTTATGATGAATTTTTTTCTTCATCATTAAATATATATGCATTTATGATTAATTTTTTAGATTTATCACAATTGTAATTAGTTATAATGATGATTTTAAAATTTATCACAAATTTTTATCACTAAAAATCATTTTTCTTGTAGTGAAGATTATATTAAATTAATAAATAATTTTCACATAAAATCTAATATACATTATGTATTATTAAAAAAACAATACACAATTAAAAGAAATCCTAGTTGAAGAGAAGTGGGGATTACATCAAAGAATTAAAACTTCAATTGCATAATGGCTGAAAAGTGCCTACGTGTCAACTCGGAAGATCAGGTGTCAACTTTCTTTACAGTGAAAATCAAGTCCGTGTCGGATTTGCACGCAATCGCTAATAATTAAGTGTCAACACCTTAAGACCAAGTGTCAGTACCTTCGTCTAGTGAAAAAACAAGTCCGCGTCGGATTTCTGAATTATCATGCAAATTTTTTAAAGGTAAAATAACAATAATAGCTCCTCAACTTTTTTTTTTTTAATAAATTTATAAAAAGTCAAATTCAAATCATTGTCTGAAAATAAAAAAAAACATTTTTAAACGTAACTTAACTCTATTTGACCGAAAGCCCAAGTGCAGTAACTCATCAACTTTATTATTATTATTTTTTAAAGTTTTGATTAAATTAATTAACTTAAACAAAATGACAAAACATTGAGTAACGAAAGAGTCGGACAAGAGAAGCCCACACGAGTCCCAGAAGACTGGAGGAGTTCCAGGTTTACTTCCACAAGTCTTTAACCTATTTTTACATGAATTTTTTTATTATAAATTAAAGGATATCTTATAAATTGAATATTTACCTCATATGTCTCAAATACTTTGTATAGTTTCATTGTCTATTTTCTAAAAAATATTTTGTATAGTGTTATTTATAATCATTTATAAAAATTATTTTAAACATTTAAAAAAGACAAATAAGTTAAATAATAATTAGTCCTAAATTTAATGTCCAAACATTAATATGTAATTTTACTAAACCTTTCACTGGGTGGTGTGTTATTGCCACAGCTTCACAGGTTAACACCACAGCTTTTTTTAATTAATTGACCATTAACCCACGCGGAAAAGGTGGTGACTGCTGCAAGTTGGATTCAAATGAGGGATATAATAATCAAATAATTAAAAAAGCTGTGGTATTAACAAAAGTGGTTGTCGCAATAACACCACCCCCTTTCACTCTTTTAAGGACAAATTTGCAATAAATGGAACTACTAGAAAGACTAAATAGGCACCTGCCCTTCTGGGATGACCGACTAATAGACGGTTCTCAAAAATGCACAGTGACTGTGACGATATTGATTTAAAATTTTTTAATACATATTTTAAAAATGCATCCCACATCGATAAAATTACAATAGCAACAGGAATTGTGGAACAAAGGATTGTTGTAGTTGAGAAACATTTGTCCAAAGTAGAGCTAGTCCACCCCCTACCGACCCAATCAACGGCAAAACCGTGTGCAAACCCTAGATCTAAGCAAATTAGATGCATCCCAATAGTGGATCGCTTTGTTTCAGAGAGGAAAATAATGCTGGGCTTGTGTAGGAAACAAAGCTTCTTTAGATCTGAAATCATAGAGTCCTCCCTAAGACCTCCCCAAGCCAATATGCGATTCAAATCCAAAAAGGGAATAGGGAATCAAGACAAAAAGCAAGAAATAGAGAGGAGGGGCCTTGAAAGAAAAAACCAAAGAGAAACACTGAAGTGAGAGGCTCGTCCGCCGAAGAGAAAAAACCCTAGCAGCGGCAACGAGAGAAAAAGCGAAAACCTTCTCCCTTTAGCTTGGATTAATCTTGAAACTAAGAATATTAATTAATGGCAAAATTTATGTTCAGGTGTTGGCCTTGGAGTTGGGTGCACATAACATCAGAGTGAACGCAATAGCACCAGGAATTTTCAGATCGGAGATTACAGAAGGTCTGTTTGAGAAACAGGGGCTAAGTAACTTTGTTGCGAAAGTTGCCTCTTTAAGGAGTTTGGGCACTACTGATCCAGCCTTAACTTCCCTTATCCGATACCTAATCCATCATTCTTCAGCATATGTCTCAGGGAACATTTTCGTTGTTGATGCTGGGACCACATTGCCTGGTGTTCCCATTTTCTCTTCCCTCTGAACCAGTGTTTGTTATGTTATGAACAATTATATTTGTTCTAGAATTGTTTAACATTTAGGAAATTATATTGTAATGATTAATCATTAATGAATAAGGATAAACAAGGGCTAAAGTATATGTTTAGCCTTTATTAATTTTAAAATTTTTAGTTATTTATCTTATATTATAAAGTTTTTAGTCATTAAATTTAAAATTTTAAAAATTTTATCCCTAAATTAATGGAATCTATTAAATTTTTTAAAATAAAAAATTTATAATATTAGTCTTTAAAAAATAAAAATATAATAATTTAGTTCTAAAAATTTTAAATTTTAAAAATTAGTAAATTAAAAAAAAATTAATGGATAACTTTCTCACATATACTAAAACAGTATCAAATATTTATAATCAAATAGAACGATTAGGTGAATTTGAAAAAAGAATTCTAATTAAAATTAAAAAAAAACTTCTTAGTTAAGTTAAGATAGAAAATTCAAGAAACTAAAAGAATATAGGTAATTTTTTTTTAATCTCAATTATATTTCTTTCTTGAAATTGAGTTAATCACTTAATTTGATTGTAAATATCTAATAATGCTCTTGTGTGTATGGCAAATTTATCTACTCATTATTTTTAATTTATTAATTTTTTTAATTTTTAAACTTTTAAAATTAAACTGTTATATTTTTAGTTTTTGAGGATTAATTTTGTACGTATTTTATTTTCAGTTTAATAGATTTCGTTTGTTTAAAGGATAAAATTTTTAATCCTTTAAGTTCAAGAACTAAAAAATTTATGATGTAAGATAAAGAATTAAAAATTTTAAACTTATTAAGACGGGGCTAAATAAATACTTTAAATGAGATAAACGAGGCTTCTACAAGGCGGGTGATACACGCATGTGACGCTTGCGATAATACAGTGAAACTGTAAAATGTCATGTAGATGTATATTGTATATAATACTTCCCCGATAATTAAAAATTTAAGAATAATTTATATGTTTAATTATATTATCTTTAAAAGAAAAGATAAAAACATATTTTTTATAATAAAATGATTAAAGAAAATTAGTAGTACATTTTTGGGTCTAACATTTTTCACAACATCCATTAATTTAGTTATTAAATTTTATAATTTTTAGTTTTTTTTATTTTTAATTTAAATTTTTTAAAAAATAATTTTTTAGTAAATATGTTTTAAAATAAGATAAATCAGATGACATGTCAATTAATTTTCAATAATTAATTAAATTAAATAAATAATGATAATATTAAAAAAATCTTTATTTATTTAAAAAAACACAATAATTAATTTAAAAGAGAGATTAAAATAAAAAAACAATTATTTTTAAATTAAAAAAAAAAAGAAAAAAAAAAAAAAAAAAAAAGTTAAGTAAGAAATATAGTAACCGTGCAGATTAATTGAAAAAATAAGCGGTTGTGTAAAATATTAATCTATTATTTCGGTCAAAATGGATGACCGAAATACCAAAACCGACATTACGTTTTTGTAGTCGGCTGTTCAAGAAAAACAGAATGTGCAGAAAGCCCGCAAAGCTAGCTTTGCGTTTTGCAGCCAGCTCTATGGAAAAAACAGAATGTGCAGAATCTCGCAAAGCTGACTGCAGAAATTGTAAGTCGGTTGTATAGAGCCAGCTCTAGGAAGTTAAGCTGATTGTTTTGAAAACCCTAGAACCCAAAAATCAGGGGATTATTTCAATCAAGTATTATGACCGAAATAGTGGATAATTTCGATCATATTTATTGACCGAAATAATCCCACAAAAACAAACCTAATTTCTCTTTTTTGGGAGGATTTGGCGTGGAGTACCAATATCTCTATTCATATTACTTCGGTCAAAATGATTGACCGAATAAACGTGGGAAAAAAATCTGGATTGAAGTGACATGAAGGAGGGGATG